AGGTGACATGGTGGTTAAGGGCATTGGATTCCCACATGGCTGACCACAATTTGAGTCACAGACCTGGTGGCAGCTTGCTTTCTCACTTTCCCTTGCTCTCTCTGTCTCTTTCTAGTCAAATGGAAAAAATAGTAATAACAAATGGAATTAAATAAATAAATCTCTAAAAAAAAAAAAAAAACTTATCAATACCTGAGTCAAACCCAGGACATGTAGTTGAGTTACTGGAAATCACTTTAATTGGTGATAGTCACTTGCAGCCACCTGCAATCTTCAACTATTATTATTATTATTATTATTATTATTGGAGAGGTTTTCGCTATAGGGTGCGTGCGCTCGCCAGACATACAGAGAGAGAGAGACAGAAAGTGAGAAATCACCCCCTAGGGGGGATGGTCATGCCGCAATCCTTTCTCCTCCATTCTCCTCTTGGGATCTTGGGCACGCACACACACGCACCCGGTGTGAGTTTTAAGCTGCCGGGTTCAGGATGCAAACCGCGGTCGACTACATGGGAGTCCAGTGACATAGACATTACACTAACTGCTGGTTCCCAATCTTCAACTATTATTTATCTGTACTATACAGCCCTAAACTCCAAATTGCCAAGGCTCTATAGCATCTGAGTTCATGCTCTGCCCTGTTTCAACGTAACAATTACCTCACATAAGCAAACTCATTTTTGCCATTATACACCCTTTACTTGCCCGCCAACATGCTTTTTCTTCTTTCTACGATCCATAAAAATGCCTACTTATCCTTTGAAATAATAATCATAGTTCACTTCTTCCATCTCTCTCTTCATTCAGAAGAGCCTGGATCAGGCTAAGCTTTAATTCACTCGTCCATTCATCCATGAGCTTGTCATGCACAAGAACACACTCATCATTCACAAACACCTATTTCATGGCAAACTCTGTGCAAATCACAGATGCTAAATGTTCATCAGCCAAACGGATTCATGTAACCACAAATACTTCCATTTCCCAAACACTCTAAGTATCAGCTTTGTACAGACCTGTGTTAAAGGCATTTCAGAGAGGTGTGCGTATCCGCTGACACCCTGATAAACCTTGCAGGGTCACTCATTATTTTTTTAAAAAATAATGTTATTATTATTATTATTTAATTTGGCCAGAGAGAAACAGAGAGAGAAAGAAAATGAGAAAGCAAGTGTCAGGTCCAGGATTCAAACCACAGTGAGCTATGTGGGAGTCCAGTGCCCCAACAAACACCCACCTGCCAGCCCTGGGTTATTCCTAAGTACTACTAATAAGACAACCGAAGAAACAAAGTTTAAAAAATAAAAGAAAAATCTCAGATTATTTCCATTACATGAAAACCCAAAAATTAAACCACTCTTTTAAAAGCACACGAAAATGAGGGCTAGTAGATGGTGTAATGGTAAAGGTGCTGACCATGGTTCAAATCCTGGACCTGGTGGCTTGAAACTCACACCAGATGCATGTGCAGCCATGTCCAAAATCCCAAGAGAAAATGGGGGAGAAGAGATTGTGAAGTGGCCATCCCTTGGGGGGATGGTTTGTCCAGCAAGCACATGCACCCTATAGCAAAACCTATTAAAACACACACACACACACGCGCAAGAAAATGAACAATCCAGTAGTGAAAAGCACAAAGGACATATAAACAGGCCATTCACAAAACACAAACACCCCTTACAAATTCATAAACATACACTATTTCACTAAAGAACTGCCAACTAAATAATAAAATGTTATTCTTGCTTATGTGTTTTATACAGATGAGAAAAAACTCTCACCTCCCACCCAGGCAAGGGTACACCTTGTTCTAACAGTATTAATTATAAAATCTCGTACGGAAATCAGCCCCATAGCAAAGTAGTTAAGCACTACATGCAGGGATCCAGATCCCACAGGGTCAATCGAGGTTTGAATCCCAATCTCAGAGACTTGAAAAACACAATGGACACATACGCACACTTGCCCCAAATCCTGACAAGATGGAGATAGGGGGTAAAGTGGATTGTGGCATGACCATGCCCATGAAGGGTGCTTTCACTTTCTCTTCTTTCTCTCTTCTGTTTTTCTTCTCTCTCTCCTTTCCTCCTTCCCTCCCTCTGGCTAATGCAACCACCCTCCGGTAATTAAAAAAAAAAAAAATTACAATGGCTTACTCTAGAGAACAACCTCACAATATAAGCAGAAATAATTAATATGCATATGCTTTACCCATAAAAACTATCTATGAATATTATCCTATGAAAACTAAAGGAAATATCTGTATTCATCTTATAATACATAGACATATGTATAAGAATTTCATTGCAGAATTCTTTGTGGCTGTTTTTTTAAAAAGTAAGACAAATACACAAATCCACTAATGAGGGATACATTTAAAGTATCTAATCACTGGGATACTATGTAGCAGTTAAAAGAGGAAAAGGTAGAATTTTATGTGCTAACATGTAACAACACATTGTTACAAGATAAAAACATACTCTAAACAACATGAACATTTTAAAACCATTTTATATTAGAATCTACTCAGTGACATTATTACATAATAGTAACTCTACTCTAAAATCTATTTTTATATTATTTCCAAATATGTTGAGCCTGTGCAGTTGAGAATCTCAAAACCACATTATCCTACTAGACAGCTCCAGTTCTTAAATTTTAATCCTACAAGTTTTGTACACCCTATATCTTCAAGACAAGTGTCATTGCAAGGCAAAAGTGTGCCTCTCTTTGTTTAAGATCCTTTTATATATCAAAGTGCAACAGGAAATGCTAAAAAGTTTCCAAATTTTAAATCTATGATGCAAATGTTACGTGGTTTTTTTAGAATTATTTAATTTTATTTATTCATTTTTAAGATATTTATTTAATTTTATTTTTATTCACTCGTTTATCTTAATTTGACCAGAGAGACAGAGAGAGAGAGAGAGAAAGTGAGAAAGCAAGCCACCAGGTCCAAGACTCGAACTGTGATCGGCCATGTGGGAGTGTCCAGCACCTTAACCACCATACCACCTGCTGGTCCCACAAATGTTAAGTTTTTAACAATATAGCCTTGACTTTCCATGACAATTCATGTTGAACATGTTCATTTTACAAAATCACAAATTATACCTATCTCGTACTTCAGTAATAACAGAAAAACCATAACGTTTTGAAAACACAAAGGGCTGGCCCCACAGTGCAGCTGTTAAGCACTGTGTGAAGGGAGGCAGATCCCACATGGCTGAGCAGTTTGCAACCCAGCCTCAATGGCTTGAAAAACATGCCAGGTACACAAGTGTGCCTGCATGCCCAAGACCCTGGTGGGATGCAGGGATGAAGGAAAAAAGCCTGCAGTGTGACTAGGCCCCATTAGGGAATGCTCACGCGCATGGGCACACTGGCACACACATCCTCTGACACTTTTAAAAAGACAAAAAACTTGCATAACTATTACATATAATAGAACCATTTCTTAGAATATTCAGGAGTTAAATACTTATATGGTATATACTATATATGGTATTCCAAAAATACTAAGTATAAATCAAACTATTTTAAAGAACAGCTACAAACAGCAGTGAAGCCACACTGCAATAGATGAGACTGGGATTTGGAGTCAGAATACCTAAGGATAGGGACCAGCAGTTAGCATAATGGCTATGTCACTGGACTCCCACGTAGTCGACCACGGTTCGAGTCCCAGACCCGGTGGCTTAAACTGACGCCAGGCGCATGTGTGCGTGCCCAAGATCCCGAGAGGAGAATGGAGGAGAAGGGACTGCGGCGTGGCCATCCACCCTGGGGGGTGATTTCTCGCTTTCTATCTCTCTGTCTCTCTCTGTCTGGCAAGCGCACGTGCCCTATAGCAAAAACCTCTTCAAAAAAAAAAAAAAAAGAATACCTAAGGATAAACACCACTCTTTTGGCTCCAGAATCCCAAGAACATCAAATAATCTCAACTGCTTCCTTTTTAAAATGAAAATAAGCATAATCTTAAAAATTATATATAGGTTCTTAGCATTTCTTTGATTTATTAAAACTAAAACTGCTTTTCTTGAAATTAAAAATATATTTTAAAATACCTATTTAATGACCATAGTAAGCTAGATGGCCATCAGCTAGGTGCTACTTTATAGTATATTCATTCTACGCGGTTTCACACCTAAAGTCAGACATGTACTCACAGATATGTATGTATCAGCTGAAATTGCTATTGAAAGTAGTTAGATTATTTTTAAAATTTTGTGAATCAATAAAATGGGGGGGGAAAAAAGAAATGGTAAACAACTGCAGACACCAGAGTTAGTGTGGAAGAAGGGTGGGAAATGGGAGAGGGTGAGAAATAGGG